TTACAGAGACGTCTCAAAAAGTTCAATTTATTGTAAATTTTGTTTTCAGTATTCAAAGATTACAAGTTATGTGATTTATGACTTTAGCATTTTACATTTTTTCTCTTTTTATTCATCAAAACATCCATTTTTGTTGCTAGGCAACGGATAGGAATGTTAAAAAATTATACGCTTCTGAATTCAAATTCTAAAAGACAAAATCCTCTGCTTTTAGGTAATATGCACAGGATGTCTGTATGAGGTCCATCACTGGAGTAATTAGGCATTGAATAATTCCAAAATCAAGGAAAATGCTGAGTCAGCAAAAAAGGAAAAACATGCATATATTCCCACATCTATCACAGATATATCTTTAAATCTTATTTCTATATTTTTGATTTTGAAAACTGTTAAGATCATTATCTTGAGAATAACAGCAATGAAAAAGAAATTCTTTTTGTATTTACATTTAATTTGAGCCTGAAAGATAAGAGATTTTTTAGTCCATCGAAGCTGAAAATTGGCTGGTTGCTAGGGAAATTTCTCTACCCATGTTTCCATGGTAACCATGAATCAAAACATTTTTCCTTCTGCATACATAGTTCATAGGGCAAAGGAAAACTATGTGTGGAAAATCATCAAATTCTGCGAACCCTCATATATCACCCTTTGCATGATTTTTACACAGAACTGTACTTAAACATTTGTCATCAGAAAAAAAAAATAAAAAAAGCTTACGTACTCTGATAATTTATGACGTCATAATCAATACATTATTATGACATCACAAACGGTAGCCTTTTGTTGTTAGATACAGTCAGTACTGCTCTGAAAAGACTATGGGTCTCCTTCAGAGCTGTTTCGCTAGAAATAATAAAGTGGGTGTCGCAAAAGAAGAGATGGAGGCGTACGAAAAAGTACGGAAAACAATGGTCACAGAGGAAGTGACAGAAAGGAAAGGTGGGGTGGCCTTTGATCTTACATTTGTCTCCGAGGAAACCCCAAAGAAGCCTCCTCCAAAGTTGCTTGAAAACAAAAAGGAGGATTTTGAAAAATGGAGAGGTAGGTGTATACTATTCATGTGTGATGAAACGTATTTATCCTCTTAAATTAGTTTAAAGCATGTAATATTAATGATTTGATTGATTGATTTATTATTTACTGTTTTACGCCAAGTCGGCAGTATTTCAGCCATATTTTTTTAATTGGTCTTGCCACTTATCGTCTTAGACTGGATTTGAAAGTTTTTAGTTTCCTTGACGGTCCCCTGTGAAGCTACTCTTTTTCGAAAACCAGTGAAACGATCTATGCATACCGGGGGGGGGGGGGGGTGTTGTAATCCTTGATACGGAGCACTGTTTAACGTCCCATCCGACGCACTGAACTTTAAAGCATTTTAACTTTTAACACTACTGTTTGGACTTAATATATGTAGTTTTTGCATTGTCTGCACATTGTTAAAAAGTCTACTTCGTATAGACGAAAAACTTGGATGCATACATGTAGAACGTGATGTATATAAAATGTATACTTCATGTACTGTCATTACAGGATATGCGGTTTGGTGTGGTTTTCTTACATGTATTAAGCATGATCACACAAAGAAACAAGTATTACTTTATCCCCCCTCGGATTTTTCCTGGCTATTAATGATATGTGAAGTTTAGACCCAGATTCAAAAAGTCATTGTTCATGTTGATTTCAGTTGCCAGTAACATTTTCCATTATGGAAGCTTGCAAAAATTAACTTAGCATTTTCCTGTTTATGTTTAACAGAGTCTCAAGAGAAGGTACAAGCCGAAAAGCAGGAGCGGGCTCAACAGAACAGAGAGGAAGCCCGTATCCAGAAAGAGATCGATGTCGCCCACAAGGAGATGGAGAGGCTCGAGAAATACGTCAACCTTACTGCCGGATAAATCTAATTCAAGTTCCTGATAATATTTATGTTAATGATCTGGACAATATGTTTTAAAATCTTTAATTTTCAAAGCGTTTGGAACCAAAGAGGGAACACCCGAGCTCTTTTGCTGCAAATCATTGTTTTGGCTATTAATTGATTTTAGTCTTTCTTCTTTCGGCTCATAATTTTTTTTAGGGGGGGGGGGGGTGGGTGGGTGGGTTGGAATTTGAATTTCCAAAATGTTGGCCTCAGAGACAGATCTGAAGCGCTAGCATGGCGGACAAAATATAAACTTTTCAAAAATTTTCACGTCTTTCGGAACTTTTGGCCTTGAGAATACCCATTCCGTCAGTGATCAGGAATGGGTATTTACTTGGAACACCCATCCCGTCAGTAATCAGGGATGTGGGTTCCTATTCAAAAATTCTAAATTGTAAATGAAACACCCATTTAGAGGTGTCCAAAGCTCCGTTGTTCTCTCTTTTCAGAAGTCTGTATTTTATTGCTAATTACCTCTTAATAAACCCAACATCTGTAATCTCTGTGTCATGTTTTTTTTGGTTAAAATTATATCTGTTTCGTCTACTGTTTTAAGTATTATAGCTGTAAAGTATAATAAATGCGGACTTAATTACCTTGAAAACCGTTAAACTAGTCGAGCACATATGAAACAAACCTCTACCTAAAAATTAGTTCCATTTACTGAAATTTATACGAGAAAAACGAACGAAGAAAAATCTAGAGAAAAGACAGTTCAGTTTTTAGAGTTTAGGTGGGTCACATATGAAATATGCAATTATAAAAATGTATGTTGCATTAACTTGTGCGAGTTGGTTACCGGTTTAATTTTTTTCCCCATCTCAATTTCATTGATCTTTTTAACTTAATAGATTTGAGTCTTGTTGAAGGTATTGGAAAAAGGTTGAGGAACGAGAATAAGACAAAAAAGAAAAAGAAAAAAATAGTAAAGAACGAGTTTACATAACCAGGAGCGGATTCAGGAATTTTTTCCAGGTGAGGGTCTACCTCAGTCCAAAAAAAAAAAAACAAAACAAAACAAAACAAAAAAAAAAAAACAAAACAAAACAAAACAAAAAAAAAAAAAAAAAAAAAAAAAAAAAAAAAAAAACAACAACAAAAACAAACAAACAAACAAAAAAAAACACCCACACCCACACACCAAACTTCCCTTCCTTATCCTATGGAATTCCATATACGACACCCTATTGCTTACTACCCACTGCTCACTGCTTAATAAAACATGCATATTAAAGCTATTAAGATAACAAAATAGGCAATATCATCTATAAGCTGTGCCAGTGAAGTTGAAAATGTGAAAAGTTTACAGACAGTACTCCTGTATCTAGAATATAAAACCCCCAGCTCAGATATCTGGAATACAATCCCCATATATTGCAATATAACTTTTCCCATTTTTCAGAGAATTAATAGCACTAACTGGAATGATTAAATTATTTCACTTAAACAATGACTCTCCTGACTCTCATTAAAAAAACAAATATCTTCTTTTATAAGGCCTAGAATTAATAAGGTTCATCTTTGATATATAACATACAAACCAATATATCTTATATCTAGAATACACTCCTCATTTCTGACATATGTAAACCCCATCTTTGATATCTAAAATACAAACCCCATCTCTGATACCTAGAATACAAACCCTATCTATGATATCTAGAAGGCAAACCCAATTTATGATACCTTGTATACAAATCCCTTCTCTGACACCTAAAATACATACCCCATCTCTAATATCTAGAATACAAACCCCATCTCCGATACCCAGAATTCAATCCCGAACTCTGATGTCGAGAATACAAACCCAATCTCTGATACCCAGAATTCAATCCCGAACTCTGAATACAAACCTCATCTTTTGTCTAGAAAACGAACCTCGTCTCCAATATCTAGAAAATAAACCCATCTCTTATATCTAGAATACAAACCTCATATCTAACATCTAGAAAACAAACCCATCTCTTATATCTAGAAAAGAAACCCCAACTCTTATATCTAGAAAACAAACCCATCTCATTTATCTAGAAAACAAACACCATCTCTTATATCTAGAATATAAACCTCATCTCTATATCTTGAAACAAACCCCATCTCTTTTATCTAGAAAACAAACCCATCTCTTATATCTAGAAAACAAACCCATGTCTTATATCTCCAGTATATTATACATCTTTGATCATGTATCTGTGTTTAATGTAAGTTTAATGAGTGCTTCTGAATATATGATAAAATTAATAGGTATATGCATGATATAGAGAACATTATGGTAATTGTTTTACATCTTTAAAATAATATTTCAAGGTGCTCTCTAAATACAACTGTATCTAAGAACATGCGTGTCTTTGCTTTAAAACGGTGTAGTTTTGCAGTGCGATTGCAGTCCTAATTTAATTATTTGAAATGTGGTGTTGCTGTACTGCAAACCCGTACTGCTTTGCAGAGCTAAAGTAGCACTGCAAATCAGTGCATGGACTACAAGACAGCATATATATGCACAGTGCATTTTTTGCTGTACAATTTAAGCCCTGATTTATTTACATATTTAAACCATGCTGCAAGTGTGCTTCTTCATAGTATTCCTGCATTTAAGAGTTTTGCAGCATACTTGCAGCAGTACTGAAGCTGTACTGATAGTGCACTGTGATTTTGCAATGCTTCTGTGCTGCATATGTGCTTCAACTATGCTGCAATTCTATAAGAGTGGGCCTATAATTATTGATAGTTAGAATTTTAGTTCATGTGTCTCACCAACCATAAAACAAAATGTAAACTTGACAATAGAGCAATAATGACTAATTCAGGATAATTTCAATGGCAGGATTTTCACATTTATTTCAGAAAAGACTTTCTAAAATCTAGGAGTAGACATTTTAAAAAATTATACATACCTTTCCCAATTTTTTTCTGGTTCAAATTATTATCGCATGTGTACGGTGTAAAATACACCTGTATGTTTACAATTATTATTATTATTATTATACTGAATAAATATATAGAGTCCAAAATTCCATTTACAATCTGTGGTTATCTAACATGCACATTAAACTTAAGCCATACAGGTAGGCAACACCCGAAAAACATGGCTGAAAGTAACTCAATTGAATATTCGTTGGGATCTCCTCTAGCACCAATCAAAATGTGTAAATCTCATGGATTACCCATTGATTTATTGTGTGAGGATTGTGAAAAATTCATTTGTTCTGACTGTGCCAAAACAGATCATAGAGATCATGATTGGAAAACTATATCCACAGCAGCCATCCAAAGGAGGAAAGATCTTCCTCATTTTTTTAAGAGGATCAAAGAAGAGGACCTACATCAGATTGATGAGAAGATAGAAAAGATGTCAAAACAGATAACAGAAAATAAAGAACTGTGTGACTCAGAGATTAAAGATCTACAGAAGCATTTTGATGAGATAATGGCCAGGCTAGCAGAAATCAAAAAACGCCAGGAGAGAGAATTGAGAAACAATTTGATTAAAAAGAATGATCAATTGAACTATGTTAAATCTGAGTTAGAGGAGAAGAAGAGAGAAATTATTGACACGGTGGATTTTATGGAGAAGCACTACAGCATCATGTCAGATCCGAGGTTGATTGATAACCACAGAGAACTGACAAAAATGTTGTGTGAACTGCAGGTTCATATGACAAACTGTGAACATTCAGTGAGGTTCATTAGAGGTGAAATCAAAGATGACTTACTTGAATTCTTGGTTGGAAAAACTTTGGATTTAAATGATATTAATGTGACTCAAAAAAATTTATTTCATTATGGAGATAAAGCAATACCAATGTTGGAGACATACAGTGAGGACCGATGTTACATCAAAGTATATGAATCTAAATATACAGAAAAAGTCAATCAGCAAGGCACAAAGGAACATGAATTTAGTATTATTCCTCATGACATGTGTGTGACTGATAATGGTGATGTTTATTTCACTGATGTTATTGAGAAGTCCATTAGTTGTCTGTCACCAACGGGATCTGTGTCTGAAGTCATTGGCACAGTTCCACTGGAACCAGAAGGAATCTGTAAATCAGTGGACGGTGGACTACTGGTCACCTTGACAGACAATGTATCAGATCTTTACAAATTAGACTCACACAGCAGACGTTTGGTGAGACACATCACAGTGACAGGTGATGTAATCCATGAGTATGAGTACCAGGAAGACGGTCAGACCAGACTGTTTACATGGCCATACAGAGTCACACAAAACAGTAACAGTGATATCTGTGTTGTGAACCGTACAAGTAACACTACAGGTGATCTAGTGATTATGTCTCCTTCTGGTCGTATGAAGTCTGTCTACCGTGGGCAGAACTTGACAAAGAACTTTTTTCCAACTGATGTAGTGTGTGACTCCCTCTGTAACATCCTTGTTACTGACCCACATAACAACCAAATCCGTCTGCTGAGTCCTCAAGGGGAGTTCTTGAATTTCTTACTGATAGAGGATGAAGTGAACACTCCACTCTCATTATCCCTATACAAGTCTACACTGTGGGTAGGATATCATGAAGGACTTGTCAAAGTGTTTCTATACGAAGTGTAAAATGTAATTTACATGAGTTAAGATTAGATTGATTGAATGTTTTACGTCCCATTTGAGGATTTTTCACTCATAAAGAGAAATCATCATATACCGGTGAAGGGCTTTAAATTTAGACCTTTACCCGGCACTCGGGGCCATTGAGCAGGGAGGGTTCCTTATCATGCCAACGCCTACAGTGGCACGAGGCCTCGGTTTTTAAGGTCTCATCCGAAGGACCTGCAACTTGGCGAAGGAACAGTTGCTATCTTTTTTTTTTTTATTATCGACTTAAAACCGTCGGAAAAAACTTGAGGGATAATTCAATTTAAGACGGCTGGGTTATAGATGTTATCTATTATATATATATATATATATATATATATATATATATATATATATATTTCGATTTGATGCTTTAAGAAACTTGAAGAGTACTGTGCAACAATATATTCCAAGGAACTTTTGGAACATTTGAAATTAAAATTTTACCAAAATCAACAACATAAAAACTAACGACTTTTCAACTTTATATGCAACTATTCCTCACGATAAATCAAAGTCCAGACTTTCTGACATCGTTGACAGCCGCTTTTTCAATGATAATGGAACTCGTAAATTTACTTACCTTGTCATTGGTCATTTGCAAATTACTTTGTTAAAAATGATCTGATTGTACACAAAATTACTCTGAAGTTCACATTAAAAGATGCTCGAGTTTCTGATTGACAATATCTATGTGGTTTTTGGAGACCAGGTCTTCCAACAATCTATTGGAATTCCAATGGGTACCAATTGCGCCCCGTTATTAGCAGACCTATTTTTGTATTCATATGAAACAGAATTTGTTCAAAATCTTTTAGTGAAAAGATGAAAACACTTGCTGTGGCCTTTAACTCGACATTTAGATGTATCGACGACGTATTGTCAATTAACAATGGTTATTTCCATTCTTATGCCGACATGATATATCCCGAAGAGCTTGAGATAAAAGATACCACAGAGACTGACATCTGTTTCATATTTGCATATTTTATTAGAAAAGGACGTTGATAGTAATCTAACAACAAAGCTTTATGATTAACGTGATGACTTTAAATTTTCAACTTCCCTTACTTATGCAGCAATATACCCTTTTCACCTGCATACGGGGTTTATATCTCTCAGTTGATTCGATACGCAAGAGCATGCTCTACGTATGTACAATTTGTAAAACGAGATAAGTTATTGACAAACAGGTTGATGAAACAAGAATATCAGCAGTCTCGTTTAAAGTCATCATTTCTATGGTCGATACAATGACCTTGTCAGCAAATGCAATCTTTCATTAAATGAAATGCTGACTGATTTTTATCATACTAATTGTTAGGCCATTATTTACATACTGAATTGTCGATGGATTTTTCCGTTATTTCTTGGTCATGACATGGACCGGTCGGCAGGGGATGCTCACGCCTCCATGGCACCTGATCCTCTGATGTTTTAGGAGGTCCGTGTTTGCTCTGCTCCTATTTTGTAATGTTTTATGGATATTTGAGCTCGAATACTGTTCGTTATCTCCACATATTTCATAGAGATAGGGACCCCTTCATATATTGTTCATTTCTATTGATGGAGATTAAAACTTGTAAGTAACTTTATATTTATATCAGATAGTCTTTAAATTTGTCATCTATAATGTTGGAAAAATACAAAAATATACATTTTCCCTATATTTTGCAGCATCTATTTTTAGAGAATTATTGCTATAAAAAATGGGAGTTCATCCTCAATTAATATTGTTTGAATTATTGTATGACCAGCTGTTCTTGATGACATATTTTAAAGAGCAGTTCATTTGTTTATACTTTTCAATGAATTTTCTAACTGGTTGAAAATTGTCATTTTTCTTCTTACATATACTGACCGTTCACGGTAGCTCAGTCGGTAGAGCGCTCGCTCCGTGATCCGGAGGTCGTGAGTTCGAATCTCGACCGCGACTGACCTAAGTCGATGAAAATGGGTAGCAACTGTTCCTTCGCCATGCGCTCGGTACTTTGAAATGAAAGTTGCGGGTCCTTCGGATGAGACCTTAAAAACCGAGGTCCCATGTAACGGCAGGCGTTGGCACGATAGAGATCCCTCACTGCCCAATGGCCGTAAGTGCCGAGTAAAGGTCAAAATTTGAAGTCCTTCACCGACATATGGTGACGTCTCTATATGAGTGAAAAATTCTCGAACGGGACGTAAAACAACATACAATCAATCAATCAATCTTACGTATACTAATAAGTTGAGACATATCTATTTTTCGGTGTTTGTTGCTATATATAAATAGATGCGATCATTATGCATGTCAATTAATGGTGACTAGTACTTGTCAGTCGCGCTATGTTTATAATAATATGTCAATTTTCCATCACTAATGTCTGAAATAGTATAAAATCTACATTTTCTCGATAATTCACGGCATCTATTTTTTCTTACTATAAAAAGAAATGGGAGTCAAACCTCTATATTGTGTCAGTAATTGTATGACCAACTATTCTTGTTGATGACATATTGTAAAGAGCAGTATATATTCAGTAAATACTTTTTCTATTAAACTTCTAATTGGTTGAAAATTGTCATTTTTTTTTTCATATGCTGAGACATATCTATTTTTAAGTATTTGATACTTTAAATAGAAATGGGAACCCCCCTCAAATACTGTGTATATCATGATCAGTTATTTGTCAGACACACTTCGTTTTTGACAGTCTGCAAATTTTTCTTCCGTACTGATTTCTGACAAAATGCAAGAATCAAATTTTTCTCCATACTAGTAATTTGGATACCTTTTTGTAGACAATTGTGAACGCATCCTTAATATTGTGTGCATTATTGAATGAAAAACTTATAGAATTCGAATGCAGTATATCCGTAAAAACTTTTCTACGAAGTTTTCAATTGGTTAAAAATTACCATTTTTGCTCATATGTTGAGATACATTTCTTTTAAGTTTTGATGCTATAAATGGAAATAAAAACCCCTTTAAATATTGCGTATTCCAGCAAGTGGTGTTCAGCGTCTGTCATTCACAACTTTAAAGGACTTATCGCATGATTTTTCAAAAATCTTAATTTTATGAAAAATATTATCTACAACCTTGTTTATTAAAATTCTGAATACAATAAACGTTGTTGAAAGCATATTTTAAGAGATATTGAGAGTTGAAATTCAAATACGGCAATATGCATATTTCAGTCGGATTTCGGCGAAATACTGCTCTGACGTCATAGGCGACAATTCAGTGATAGAGAGATGAGAAGTTGCACACTATTTACGAAGTTATCAACGACAAATGCAGATTAATTATGAAAAATGCTGAAAAAAATAATTCCTACCGTGATTTTCAATTACTATAGAAACATTAACTAGTCATAAGGTATAAGAATTTTGAGATATTTTAGTTTTTTATTCCAAACATTTAGAATCTGTAGGTCTGATTACGGCAATGTTTCGTGATCGGAAAATTATTTTTCAAGACCGCCAACCTTTACAAAACACATGAAAGCATACTTGCAAAAATTAATATCATGTTAAAAACGAAGAATAACAAAGTTATGTAATATTAAATTTGTGAATCAAATAAGTTAATACATGTGATAAAATGACAAATCAAATTGTATTGTGATGGCGAGTTTCTTCGTCTTCGCCGCGTCTCCCTCGCTATCGTTGCTGCTATTTTTACAATGTTAACGGATTTTTCAGATTATTTCTTGCTGACAATTCTAAAATATAAGGTTGGATATGAAATTTCATATCGATAAAATCAGTGATTTGGTCGTCCATAACGCAGAAAATTCAGGTTGTATCGCGTATATTTTAGTAAGATTTACGTGAAGAGCTGATCAGCCATTGTCGCCTTTGACGTCACAGGGTCACGTGATCGCTATCTAATTAACTTAGATTTTTAATTCAAGGGTTTCCATTTGGGTCAATAATTGGTTAATTACTGCGGTTTATCAGCAGTAAAAACACAAAATTTAAAAACTGTGGTCATAAGGAACGTTTTACGCTTTTAATTTCAAATAATTTAGAAACATGCGATAAGTCCTTTAATTTTACAGTTTCTTTCCGTATTAGAGAGGTTAAGCAGATGACCGTGTACGTCTACATGTACGTGTAGCTAGGGAAATCCCCCAATTTACTGAGATTTACGTCATTAGTTGTGCATTCCGCGTAATTCTACAAGTTGTACACAACGTGAAGATTCATAAGTGCACGGAGGTAAGAACGTGTACTTCTTAAACTCAAATTATGGATTATGTATTTTTCAGGTGGTGTTTGTTGTAATGTTGAGAGTTTATTACGTACATCTATGTTTCTTTATTAATCAAAGTCATATAAGTATTTGATAAAAATGGATTGTAAAGTGACTTGTTGAAATGGCGTTTTACACGTACCGGTACACGTACAATTTGTTAAACAGAACACGATGATAGTTACGCGTCCTTGTAAAAACACTTCGTTTTCTAGGTTAACACATACACGTAGACGCACACGGTCAAATGCTTATTAATAACCTCTCTATTATCTCGCAATGGCATCTGAAAATTTGCCAAAAATTGGTTTTTTAAATATTTTTTTTATTATTTAAAACATATTTACGTGTGTATTTATAAATACATGTTACTAAAGATAGCATTGAAAACCCTTAATATTTTTCAATGAAATGACACTATTAGTCATTTTAAAAGTGTTAAAACACAAATAAAATTTGGAAATTTTTGTAAGATAATTCTTTTTATTAGCATTGAAGATCTGGAAAAAAAATTCTAGATCTTCCATTAATCAAATTTTTAGAAACCATGTCTATTTGCAAGACCTTTTCCATAGATTGGGAGTATTTCAAAAATGAAATATTATTCTTATACAATGTATATCATATACTCTTGTATATCTAAAAGGTAATGTTATCTTATGATCCCATGAAGGCTCATTATTAAAATTGCATTTTAGAAGAACTTGGTTTTAATTCTACAACAGGAAATCCTACTTAT